AGGGTGCTCTCTCTCCACCCCAGGTGTGTCCTCTACCCCTCGGTGCTCTCTCTCTACCCCAGGTGTGTTCTCTACCCCAGGGTGCTCTCTCTCCACCCCAGGTGTGTTCTCTACCCCAGGGTGCTCACTATCCACCTCAGGTGTCTTCTCTACCCCAGGGTGCTCTCTCTCTACCCCAGGTATGTTCTCTACCCCAGGGTGCTCTCTCTCCACCCCAGGTGTGTTCTCTACCCCAGGGTGCTCTCTCTCTACCCCAGTTGTGTTCTCTACCCCTAGGGTGCTCTCTCTCCACCCAGGTGTGTTCTCTACCCCTAGGGTGCTCTCTCTCCACCCCAGGTGTGTTCTCTACCCCTAGGGTGCTCTCTCTCCACCCCAGGTGTGTTCTCTACCCCAGGGTGCTCTCTCTCCACCCCAGGTGTGTTCTCTACCCCAGGGTGCTCTCTCTCCACCCCAGGTGTGTTCTCTACCCCAGGGTGCTGTCTCTCTACCCCAGGTGTGTTCTCTACCCCAGGGTGCTCTCTCTCCACCCCAGGAGTGTTCTCTACCCCAGGGTGCTCTCTCTCCACCCCAGGTGTGTTCTCTACCCCAGGGTGCTCTCTCTCCACCCCAGGTGTGTTCTCTACCCCCAGGGTGCTCTCTCTCCACCCCAGGTGTGTTCTCTACCCCAGGGTGCTCTCTCTCCACCCCAGGTGTGTTCTCTACCCCAGGGTGCTCTCTCTCGGTGTGTTCTCTACCCCAGGGTGCTCTCTCTCTACCCCAGGTGTGTTCTCTACCCCAGGGTGCTCTCTCTCCACCCCAGGTGCTCTCTCTCCACCCCAGGTGTGTTCTCTACCCCCAGGGTGCTCTCTCTCCACCCCAGGTGTGTTCTCTACCCCCAGGGTGCTCTCTCTCCACCCCAGGTGTGTTCTCTACCCCCAGGGTGCTTTCTCTCTACCCCAGGTGTGTTCTCTACCCCTGTTCTCTACCCCCAGGGTGCTCCTTTCTCCACCCCAGGTGTGTTCTCTACCCCCAGGGTGCTCTCTCTCTACCCCAGGGTGCTCTCTCTCCACCCCAGGTGTGTTCTCTACCCCCAGGGTGCTCCTTTCTCCATCTCAGGTGTGTTTTCTACCCCCAGGGTGCTCTCTTCCACCCCAGGTGTGTTTTCTACCCCCAGGGTGCTCCTCTCTCCACCCCAGGTGTGTTCTTTACCCCCAGGGTGCTCTCTCTCCAGCCCAGGTGTGTTCTCTACCCCCCAGGGTGCTCTCTCTCCACCCCAGGTGTGTTTTTTACCCCTTGGGTGCTCCCTCCCACCTCCACCCCAGGTGTGTTCTCTACCCCCAGGGTGCTCCTCTCTCCACCCCGGGTGTGTTTTCTACCCCTAGGGTGCTCCTCTCTCTGCCCCAGGTATGTTTTCTATCCCAGGGGTGCTCCCCCCACCTCCACCCCGGGTGTGTTTTCTACCCCCAGGTGTGCTTCCGGGCTCAGGTGGCCTCCCTTTTCCAGCTGGGTAGTGAGCTTCCTGGGTGTGTGGTCAGGGGTGGGGGTGGGGGGGCTTGGCGGACTCTTACTCCGACAGGAAGAAAAGTCCCTCCTTCAGCCTGTCCGGGGACTAAGGCTGGTCCTATCCCCAGCCCAGTTCACTCCTGAGCTTGTCTCGAGGGGGTGGGCTATGACTGCTGGTGTTCTCAGTGTCCTGGAGCCAGTCAGCTCCCCCAGGTGTGGACCTGGGAAGGGGGATGCTGGAGAGACTAGCATCAGCTGTTAGGAAGTTGGCGGCTGTGAACACCTGTCTGTCTTCTCTCCCAGGTGCTTGCCGACGGCACTGTCCTAAACTGCCTCACCTCCCTGAGGAAGGACAACACGGGCTATGACCTGAAGCAGCTCTTCATCGGGTCAGAGGGCACCCTGGGGGTTATCACCGCGGTGTCCATCCTGTGTCCGCCCAAGCCCAAGGCTGTGAGCGTGGCTTTCCTCGGTAGGCTTCCGCCGTGGTCTGCTCCTGGAGCCGGGCTGGGGGTGGAGCGGGCGGCCGGTGCGCGGGAGGGACAGGAGGAGCCGCGCAGGACGCCTGCCCTGTCTCTCCCCCAAGAACCCCGGGCCTGGCCTTCCCGGAGGCCTTCCCTGCTCTGATCGAGCACACTTCATTCTGTGAGGAAACTGAGGCTGTGGTCGTCTCTCTCACCCCAGCGCGTCCGTTGTTTCAGGAGTTCGTAGGTGAGGTTCTGCAGGGAACGCTGACATGTGGCACAGGTTCCGGGACAGGGATTTGCTAGCCACCGTGGGGGGAACAGCATGCTCTCTCCCGTGAGGGCAGGGGAGGGTCCCCCACATCCACCCGGTTCACGTGGTGCGGCAAACATGCTGCGGCATCCCCTCGCGGTAGGCCCTCCCAGCGCTGCAGCCGCCGGTCCGTTCTCTGCTTCCTTTACGGCCAACTTCACGGCGAGTAGTACCCACTTCTCTCAGCCTCCCGGGTCGGCCGCGTCTCTTCTTGCCGTTGTGTGGGTCAGTTCGGTTCGTCCAGCACTGCCTCCCCCACCAGTTCAGGGCTCGCCTTCTAGAGGGTGCGATGGGTGTACCGAGCTTCCCCAGTCTGAATCCCATCAGCGCCTCTACCCGGCGAGCAGGTGCAGTGACCTTGGAGCGCACTGCCCAGGAATAAACTCCGTTCATTCCTGCCCAAACTCACACATTCTTGTCATTGTGAATGTGAATTGTTTTTTTCTTTTATTAGACAGAGTCTCACTCTGTTGCCTGGATTAGAGTGCCGTGGCGTCGGCCTAGCTCACAGCAACCTCAAACTCCTGGGCTCAAGTGATCCTCCTGCCTCAGCCTCCTGAGTAGCTGGGACTACAGGCATGCGCCACTATCCCTGGTTAATTTTTTTCTGTATATTTTTAGCTGTCCAATTAACTTCTTTCTATTTTTGGTAGAGACGGGGTCTTGCTCTTGCTTAGGCTGGTCTTGAACTCCTAAGCTCAAACGATCCACCCGCCTCGGCCTCCCAAAGTGCTAGGATCGCAGGCGTGAGCCACCGTGCCCAGCCTATAATGTTTAATATTCAGGCAATCCATTTTTTCCCTGTGTGGTCTGTTTTTACTGTGCTGTTGCTGCCGGTTCTTGCTCATGGCTCCTCGAGTCCTTGTGTGGCTGCTGTGGCGGTGTGCAGCTCATTTTCATCGAGGGTTATTGATGGGGTTCCTAGAGGACCAGGACGGAGATTTGCATTTGCTGTCGCCGGGTGGCTCCTGGTCCTCCCAGTCCCAGAGTGACTCAGGCCGAGTTCCCAGGCTCGGAGTTCTGTGGACCACCCGGCAGCGGGAAGCCAGGCTGTCAGTCCCTGCAGGGCTGATCTGTGGCCACGATGTATCAGGAGAACGTTTTCTTCCCTCCGTTTCTCACGTTCTGTTGAGCAGCTTGCCCTGCAGTCTTTGGGCGAGCAGGAGGAGGCGCGGGACGTGGCTCTGTGGGTCTCCTCCCTCCCCGCCCTGGCAGGGTGGGGCGTGAGGCCAGGCCGCGGCGTGGCAGGTCTGTCTTGAAAGAACAGCGCTGGGCTGGAGCCCCAGTCGGCCGCTGTGCCCCGCGCTCTCGGTTTGGTGTTTTGGGCCTGGCATTTTAGGGGGTTTTCAGTGGGGTCCTGGACCACGTGGCCTCACTCTCCACCGGATGGAGGCCCTTCTCCCTCCTAAATCTCCCCCAATCGGGCCTCACCCGCTTCACCAACGCGGCTCCTGCCAAGGCTGCAGCACTCCTGCCGCCAGCTGGGGGTCGGTTTTTACTGGGCCTCCTGCCTGTCTGGGCTCTGGCACAGCCCGGCTCCTCCCCCGCTCGCCCTCCCCCAGCCCCGGGGCTCCCCTCGCCCTCCTGACCTGGGAACTGTCCCTACAACTGGGCCCTGACCCCGTCTCCACGCCCTGTCACTGCGTTCTGGCCACGGGCCTCAAGGTGCTCCTGGGCCACGCAGGGCGGGCGTCTCCCCCAGCCCTGCACTTGCCGACCTTCTCTCTGGAACGTTCTTCCCCCACATGCATGTGGCCTCACACCGCCGCCTCGGCTCTGCCCGGGAGTACTGGGCGCACACCCTCCCACTGCCCCACCCCAGGGCCCGGGAGTACTGGGCGCACACCCTCCCACTGCCCCACGGCAGGGCCCGGGAGTACTGGGCTCACACCCTCCCACTGCCCCACCGCAGGGCCCGGGAGTACTGGGCTTACACCCTCCCACTGCCCCACCCCAGGGCCCGGGAGTACTGGGCTCACACCCTCCCACTGCCCCACCGCAGGGCCTGGAAGTACTGGGCGCACACCCTCCCACTGCCCCACCCCAGGGCCCGGGAGTACTGGGCTCACACCCTCCCACTGCCCCACCGCAGGGCCCGGGAGTACTGGGCTCACACCCTCCCACTGCCCCACCCCAGGGCCCGGGAGTACTGGGCTCACACCCTCCCACTGCCCCACCGCAGGGCCTGGAAGTACTGGGCACACACCTTCCCACTGCCCCATGGCAGGGCCGCCCAGCCCACAGACACGTTCCCTCGGCTCTGTGTCCGTCCCCAGCCCAGGAGCACTGCAGGGGCCTTGGGCGTCCGGTGAGCTCAGGCGGACGAGTTCCCGAGAGCAGGGAAGACCCGAGTCCCGACGGCGTTAGGGGGAACGGGCAGTGTCCGAGGCTGCCCGGCTGCAGCCCTGAGCTCGTGGATTTCCCAGGGCTTGCCCTCCCCGTACCCACGTCACCCGGGTGCCGTGCGGTGTGTTGGAGCTGCCTCTCTGTCCCGACCTGACGCTGCTGGTGACGCTGGCGTTTCCTGCAGCGCGAGGCGCCCACGGGAGCTGGCTGGCGGGACGGGGGCGCCCTGCGGGCCGCGCCACCCTTCCGCTGTGCAGCGTGTGACACGCCACACCCGTTGCAGGCTGTCCCAGCTTTGCTGAGGTTCTGAGGACCTTCCGCACCTGCAAGGGGTCGCTGGGCGAGATCCTGTCTGCGTTTGAGTTCATGGACGCCACGTGCATGCAGCTGGTCGGGCGCCACCTCCACCTGGCCTGCCCGGTGCAAGGTACTGACCCCACGCAGCCGGGCCGCGGGTACCCTGCTCCTGTGCTGCAGGACTCGCCCCACGGCACGCAGGTCTGGGGTGAACGGAGGGTCCCGGGGGCAGTGTGGCTGGGTGTCAGCATAAGAGCGCAGAGCGGCCCGCCGCGCCCACGTGGGTTTGCAGGCAGGTCTGTCCCGACCTCAGAGGGGAAGGTCGGGAGGGCCACACGGAAACACTGGTGTGGCTGCTTTTGGCACGCCGGGAGATTTTCTTTCCATTTCTACTCTTTGTTTCTAGGTCTCTCTCTCTTTTTTTTTTTTTGGTATATATTTTTAGTTGGCCAATTAATTTGTTTCTATTTTTTAGTAGAGACAGGGTCTCGCTCTTGTTCAGGCTGGTTTCCCACTCCTGACCTTGAGTGATCCTTCTGCCTCGGCCTCGCAGAGTGCTAGGATTATAGGCGTGAGCCACCGCACCCAGCCATGTTTTATTTATTTTTTTTTTTGAGACAGAGTCTCGCTTTGTTGCCCAGGCTAGAGTGAGTGCCCTGGCGTCAGCCTAGCTCACAGCAACCTCAAACTCCTGGGCTCGAGCAATCCTCCTGCCTCAGCCTCCCAAGTAGTTGGGACTACAGGCATGCGCCACCATGCCCGGCTTTTTTAAAAAATATATATATTAGTTGGCCAATTAATTTCTTTCTATTTATAGTAGAGACGGGGTCTTGCTCTTGCTCAGGCTGGTTTCGAACTCCTGACCTCGACCTCGAGCAATCCGCCCGCCTCGGCCTCCCAGAGTGCTAGGATTATAGGCGTATGTTTTACTTTTATAATGAGAAAAAGAGCCAATAATGTTATAAAAACCTCTTACTGTTCTGTGTGTGTCCTGTGATAAATCTGACTGTAGAATTTCTGTTTCAGCATGGAAAAATGCCAGTATCTGAAAAATGCGTGTTTCTCTTTGTAGTAGAATGAACTTGTAATATTTTTTCTGGAAGAGACTTTAATGTAGTGTTAAGAGACAGAACAGTGCCGCTCAGTAAATTCTCATTTAATGATTTCAATAAGTGCAAAAAGAAAAATCACAGTAGCCTTGGAAAAAAATGCAAGCTTAAAATTTTCTTAAATAAGCGATGCACATTTGAGCTTTTTAATAGTTCAAAAAATAGTGATAGTGAAAAACGACCTATTGAACGTGGCACCCGGTGTCTGAGGTTGTCACGGGCCACCACCGCACCGTGGCCTCTCCCCGTGGCTGTGGCCTTGGTGAGAGTGGATGAGCTGGCGCCCAGAGCCCACCGCAAGGCCAGTGGGAGGCCCTGGCCGGGGCAGTCAGCCTTGGGGCCGCCGTGTGTTTTCCGGGGCGCATGGTCCGTCTGAAGCGCAGCCCACCGGGGAGCTGCCCGCCACCCAGGCCGCGCGAGTCCTTGCTGGCAGCGAGGGGTCAGGCAGGGCTGTTTCAGCCTGACCTGCTCGGCGCTCCTCATCCTCCACCCGACCCCATCCTCTGCTCACCCTGCTGTCCTCGCTCACTTTCAGAGAGTCCGTTTTACGTCCTGATCGAGACCTCGGGCTCCCACGCAGGCCACGATGCCGAGAAGCTGGGCAGCTTCCTGGAGCACGCTCTGGCCTCGGGCCTGGTGACCGACGGGACCTTGGCCACCGACCAGAGGAGAATCAAGGTGCGCTGTGCCCACGGGCCTCCTTCCCACCCCGTCCACCGCAGCCCTGTCTAGGGATGTCTGCAAGGTGTGCTCTGTCAGCACAGACGCTGGGTTGTGGGCTGAACGTGTCCAGGTTTCGTGGCTTTGATAGTATAACTCTCTGGAACGGAAAATGTATTCGTGGTGCCTGGGTCATTCTCAGCAACGTGTCACAAATACCCCCGCCCATCCCCCAAGCTGTAGGGTGAATTAAACTGGCCTGTTGTCGGTCCTGGAGCCTGCGGTTTACCTGCCAGTGGGCAGCAGCTCCGCGTAGAGGTGTGTAGAGTGAGGACAGGCACGGGCTGCGGAGGCCTAGCCTGGAAACCCATCGGGTCCTCGGGTGGGCAGGGCTTTCTGGAGGAGATGGCATTGCACGTGTGGCCAGAAATGACTTGGTCTGTTGGAGGCCAAGGGAGGAGGGTAGGGCCTGGCAGTGGGGGCCGCCGGTCGCCCTCCCTGGGCCCCGGGCGGTGGGGGCCACTGTCCCCTGTGTTCCCACCGTGGTCCCGTGGCTGCAGTGTGGAGAGCAGCGGGGCCGAGCGCAGGCTCGGGCCAAGGTGGAGGTGGGTCTGGCGTGGCAGTTGCGTGTGAGCTGCGCTGTGACGGCCATGCCAGTCTCACCTTTGTTGACCTTAGCAGTTAGCTTCACTGATTTTCTACTCTATTACCAAAGCTTTTCTTTATAATTGACCTGCGTTTATGAAAGCACTCCACGTGGGCAGTTACAGCAGTCGCTTTGTACCGGATGTTTGCTGTCAGAGCCCCTCCCTGCTGGGGCTCCGAGTTGGGGCGTGGTCGCCTCTGTCTCCTGATTAGCTGTCCGTTGTCGTCGCGGCCACTCGGGGTGTGGGTCCTCACCGTGTCCTGCCTCTTCTCCTGGCTGGCGTGATTCACTCTGGGGAGGAGGTGTCCTCTCCTCGGGCAGGGGCGTGGCTGGCTGTGCTCACCGTGGCCTGGCCTGAGACATGTCCTCCGAGAGGGACGGGCCGCCAGGCACTGGTGTCCCCTGGGCTGCCCAGAGGCCTCTGCCCACACTAGAGGCGTGATCGGCTGTGTTTCCTTTCACGTCGTCAACGCCTCTGTTTTCTAGCTCAGCTCTGCTGGCTGAGCCACGTAACAAACAGTCCTCGGACCCCAGTGGCCACAGAACAAGGGCACCTGTCTCCCTCTGGTTACCTGTCGGTGCGCTGGACACCTGAGGCTCCGTTCTGGGTGTCTCCTGTCGCGGGACCCGGCTGAACGGCTGCCCCAGCTCAGCAGAGAGGAGCGGGAGCTTCCCGAGAGGCCGAGGCAGCTCCTGGTCCCGGCTCAGAGCTGGCCCACCTGCCCTCCTCCCGGGGTTGCGGCATCATGGGGAGGGCAGAAGAAACGTGACTGCCCTGTGTGGCCCCGCGCCCCTCCACACCCCTGTGCGGCAGGGCTCGTGTGCGCCAGAGCCGGGCCTGTGGTGCAGGGAGGCCAGGCTGTCGGTGCTGGGGCCTCCCTCCCAGCACGGCGTCTCCCCTCCCTCTGGGAGCTCTCCGAGAAGGGATGGGGAGAGGCTGTGAGTGTCTGCCAACACTGTGTTCTGTCCTCACGCTACATTGCTAAGCAGTCTGTTTTGTTTGTTTGTTTTTGCATATAGCAAACCCAGCCTTACGCGTGCACATGCAGCTCGGCACACTGACATGGGTACTGGGTTGTGTAGATGGTTGTTTTGGAGGCTTCTCTCTGCTGTCTTCTTGCTGCGAACATGACTCTGGGGAAGTCCCGTGCCATTCTGCGTTCTGGTTCTTGTGTTTTCTAGTCCTTTGTAGGCTGTCTCCTTCTGGGAGCCCTTGGTTTTCTGACACATCTCGAGGATGGGCCTCACGCAAGGCCAGCAGTGTCCTGTGTTTAATGGAGGACTCTGTGAGCCCCGCCCAGGCCTGGCTCTGCCCTCACCCTGCTCCGTTGGTGGCACCTGGTGGCTCCCGCCAGATGCCAAGGGTTCCTTTGGCTGCGGCCCTGGTGGGGCGTCCTCCCTTCGCCTTCACTGCATCTCCAGACCTCTGCTCGACGCCCTGTCTGTGCTGCGTGTGCCAGGCTTCTGCCCGTTGGGTGACAGCAGTGACCAGAGGGGGAAAGTGCTGCCCCACAAGCTCACGCAACAGAGCGCACGAGCGCAACTCGGTCCCTGTGACGTGAGCGGCGCCGTGGAGGCGAGCAGCGCCGGGCTGGGTGGCCAGGCTGTCCGGAAGGGGCGTTTGAGCTCAGGCACGGTTGCAAGGCCCCGGGGTGCGTGCCCATGGAGTTCCACGACATCCCAGGGACGCGCGCGAGGGAGGGGTGGGCAGGCAGGGGGCGGCCCCTGTGGCCCAGCTGGGCGGCAGGGTCTGGCACTGGGCTGAGAGGGCCCGCGGGCAGCAGGTGCCCTGCCGGCTGGCGAGGCAGGAAGCTGGGGGGTGGGCACCTGTGACAAGGGCGGGCGGTAGGTGCTGCTGCTGATCAGGCTGTGGGGTGACCCAAGGGATGGACCCCACCAAGCAGCTTAAAAACCGATGAGAGAATTGGGGAGATTTGGACACTGGCCGGGTGTTCAGTGGTGGCAAGGAATTCTTGTTTTTTGTTAGATGTGAGCGTGACGTTGGGGGTTCTGTTAAAAAAAATAGGAGTCCTTATGTCATAGAGTTTCACGGTGACACGTTTCTTGAAATGATGGGTCCTCTGTGGGGCAGGTGCAGGTTGAGGTCCAGGCGGGACCCTTGGAGGAGGGTGGTCCAGCCCCGGGGGTGGCAGCTCTGTCCTCCTCCTCCTCCTCCTCCTCGTGGGCCTTAGATTGCCATGTGAAAAGCTAAAGCAAATAAAAGACCAGTAAACCACAGACAGATTGATCTGGACTAGCCGCTGGCCCCTGGCCCAGTCCCCAACCCCAGATCCCAGGCCCCCCAGATGCCAGTCCCAGGCCCCGCCCCCACCCCACCCCCAGATCCCAGGCCCTGCCCCCACCCTGCCCCCAGATCCCAGGCCCGGCCCCCAGATCCCAGGCCCGGCCCCCAGGCCCAAGTCCGGCAGGCCCCAGGACCCCCTGTCTGCTCTGCCCTGTCCCCTCCAGCATCCTTCCCCGGGAGTCCCTCCAGCAGCTGGACCCCCGTGCCGCCCCTCAGCCTGCCTTGCTCTTCCCGCACCTCCCTGCCCTGCCCCCGCCCTGGCTCAGCCGTGCCCGCGCCTGTCCTCACCGGCCTGTCCTCACCGGCCTGTCCTCACCGGGCCTGTCCTCACCGGGCCTGTCCTCACCGGGCCTGTCCTCACCAGGCCTGTGCCGCGACATCGCCTGGCGCTGCCAGGGCTGCCCTGCGTCTCCCGAGGAGTCTGGGGTGCTTGCCGCTGTCTGGGGCGGCCTGTGCCGCACTCCACGGTGTGTCCCGTCCGGGGACGTGTCCCGTCCGAAGCCCCACCCTTCCGTGAAGACGCGGAGGTTGTCCCGAACCCAGAACCTTTGCCAGCACCCCACGGAGACCCTTTCGCTCCTTCTCGCCCCCCAGATGCTGTGGGCCCTGCGGGAGCGCATCACGGAGGCGCTGGGCCTGGACGGCTACGTGTACAAGTACGACCTGTCCCTCCCCGTGGAGCGGCTCTACGACCTCGTCACCGCCCTGCGCGCCCGCCTGGGCGCCCGCGCCAAGCACGTGGTGGGCTACGGCCACCTGGGTGAGCAGTGCCCTGGGTCCCCGGCCCACGAGGCTGGCGTTAGCGCAGGCTGGCCCTGGGGCTCTCTGGTGAGCACGCCACACTGGGCTCCGTGCACCAGCTGTGCCACGGCTGTAACAGTGAAGGGAGAGAAGCTCGAAATCGAGAAAGCCCTAGTCATTTCCATTATTCTTTTTGGGTGTTTTGGAAAAGGCTGCCATTGTGCAATTTTAATGGCTGAGAACGTGGCTCAGATTGCTGGAACATTCCAGGGTCTTCCAGGACACGCAGTGGGAAGGCATGAAGCTGGTACCCGGGAGTCTAGAACCTGTGTCTCTCAGGGCTTGCCGGGCACGTCCTGGCGGCCCCGGCTCTCCCAGTGTGCGAGGAGAGCTCTCAGCAGCCTCCACCTCTCCTACTTGAAGGGTTTCAGGACCAGTTCCAGATGATTTTTGCAGAAAAATCATGCTTTAGGTTACACGTTGCTAATTGATAGGAAGGAAATGTTTCGTCCTCTCGGTTCTTAGCAGCACCTAAAAGCCGACCATAGGGCAGCGAGGTGGGGGGGGCGTAGGAGTGGGGTGTGCGGTGTGGCTTTGGGGCGCTGGGGTCACTGACCCGCAGCCTCGATCCGCCTGCCTGTAAAATGGGATTCAGGCGCCACCTGTGATCACGGGAGAGCGTGAAGGAGTGGGTTTGGGCCCGGCCCACGGCGCAGCAGTCCGTGCTGCTCATGAGGGGCCGACCCGTCCCAGGCGTCGTCCTAAGCACTTGACGTGGAGGAACGTCTCTGCACGAGGACTTTCAGGAGTGGGACCGCAGCTCTGTCCCCTGCATGCAGTGGGCCCAGAGAGTGTCAGTAACTTGCCCCAAGGGGCCGAGCCTGGTGAGGGTGCGTCTGGGAGATCAGACGTGGCAGACGGCGACCTTCACTGTTAAAGGAAAGGGTGAGCTTGGAAGCAGTCCCCTGGAGGGCTCGGGGTGCGGCCGACACAGAGCTGGCCCTGCGGACAGGCTGGCCGGGGCTTCTCCAGCCTGTCCACCCTGAGCCACTGTTACCGCGGCCAGGGGCACCACGCCACACCACAGATAGCTCATTTCCTGCGGACCAAAGTCTGCCCCTGGAGGGAGCTGCGTGGACACTTCTGGGAGAAAACACAGGAGAATTTCTTGTGACCTTGAGGTAGGAGAAGGATTTCTTACACATGACACAAAAGGCATAAGCCATAAAGGGAGAGATTGGAAAATCTGACTACATTAAAAGTACATCCGGCCTAGCACTCTGGGAGGCTGAGGTGGGCGGATTGCTCAAGGTCAGGAGTTTGAAACCAGCCTGAGCAAGAGCGAGATGCCGTCTCTACTATAAATAGAAAGAAATTAATTAGCCAACTGATATATATAGAAAAAATTAGCCGGGCATGGTGGCGCATGCCTGTATTTCCAGGCAGGAGGATCGCTTGAGCCCAGGAGTTTGAGGTTGCTGTGAGCTAGGCTGACGCCACGGCACTCTAATCCAGGCAACAGAGTGAGACTCTGTCAAAAAAAAAAAAAAAAATACATCTGTTCATCAAAACACTCTCAATGGGATGTCGACAAGCAAAGCCCTGGGGCTGGAAAACTTGGGGTTTGGGGAGGACCCTGGGGAGGGCTGGGAGTTTGGTTATGACGCAGCGTGTGGGGGACAGCCCCAGCCACTCGGTCCATGACGGGGGCGCAGTCACCCAGACAGGAGGGGGGGGGGAGCCCAGCCACCAGCCCAGAGTGCGGAACACAAGACCCGAGCCAGGAGACCTCCTCTCATGGGGACTGGCCTCCAGCCTCTGTCGGCTACAGACAGAGCAGACCGTCCGGGTCAGAGCGGAGGGAGGGGAGCCTCTGCCACTTGGTAAAAGCACGACGAATGCTGGGTCTGTCAAATGCTTTTTGTGCAGCTGCGTGTGGCCGGGGTGGTCCCTTGGTGGAGTAATTGCCCTGATCGGTCCCTCCGAAGTCGAGCCAGTCTGTCTGTGGCAAGCCCCACAGGGGCACAGTCCTTTTTGTGTCTTACTAGATCCAGTTTATTTACATTCTCTGTAGGATTTTGACGGTGTCTTTGTGGGTGATTCTGTCATGCACTGTTTTTCCTCTGTCCATGCTGGATTTTGGTATCAAGATCATAAAATGGGCTGCATGCAGTGGCTCACGCCTGTAATCCTAGCGCTCTGGGATGCCAAGGCAGGCAGATCGCTCAAGGCCAGGAGTTTGAAACCAGCAAGAGACCTTGTCTTTACTAAAAATAGAAAGAAAGTAATCAACCAACTAAAAATATATAGAAAAAATTAGCCGGGCATGGTGGCGCATGCCTGTAGTCCCAGCTACTCAGGAGACTGAGGCAGAAGGATCGCTTGAGCCCACGAGTTTGAGGTTGCTGTGAGCTAGGCTGATGCCACGGCACTCTAGCCCAGGGAACAGAGTGAGACTCTGTCTCAAAAAAAAAAAAAAACAAAAAGATCATAAAATGATTCAGCGATAATCACTCTCACCACTCTCTGGAGGAGTTTGTGCACGACTCTGAATACTTCTTCCCCGAGTGCTGAGCAGAACTCACCAGTGGAGGTGTTTGGGCCTGGAGTTTGGGGGTGGAGGGTTGACCATAGGTCCGTCTCTCTGGCAGCCGCAAACCACTGTAGACAGGCTGGGCAAGACTTGCCACCTCTCCTTTTCTTCTGGATTGGTTTTGGTAAATTTTTTGTTCCAGGAATTTATCCAATCCTAAAGTTTCAAATATATTGGCATAAAGTTGTTGAAATATTCTTTTTTTTCCTTTACATCTAGCATTTGTTGGATGGCCCTTTTTTGATTTCTGATTTGGTTTGTTTCTCATCTCTTTCTCTGGTTCAGGTTTTTCGGGTATTTACCAACTTGCCAATTTCACAGTGTTTTTAAAGCATCAGGACTTGGCTTTGTTGATCCTTCTCATGTACATTTGTTTTCTACTTAGTTTTTTTCTGCTATTGGCTTTATTATTTTCTTTCTTTCTTCATTTTTTGGTTTATTCTGGTTTTTTCCCTTAATTTTAAAATTAAGTACTTAGCTCACTGATTTTCAGCCTTTCTTCTTCTCTAATGTAAGTATTTAGATTTCCCTCTAAATACCACTTTAGGAAGAAAACAACCCAAAGTTGTTTTCTTTAAAATAATATCTCTGCTAGTTACTAATTAAACATAGTTGCAAATTGAAACATAATCTCTGAAGTGCCCCAATAAAAAAACTGTAGCTAAGTGGCTGTCAAATGAACAAACAGGGGGCTCAGGAATAAGGCGGCTCAGGTGTGGGGGGGTGTCCCTGGGGGGGGCGCAGGGAGTTGTCAGGGAGGGGCTGGGGCCCCGCCCAGCCTGACCCCTGTGCCCTGTGCTTCCAGGGGACGGCAACCTGCACCTCAACGTGACGGCGGAGGCCTTCAGCCCGTCGCTGCTGGCCGCCCTGGAGCCCCACGTGTACGAGTGGACGGCTGGTCAGCAGGGCAGCGTCAGCGCTGAGCACGGTGTGGGCTTCAAGAAGAGGGACGTGCTCGGCTACAGCAAGCCCCCCGCAGCCCTGCAGCTCATGGGCCAGCTCAAGGCCCTGCTGGACCCCAAGGGCATCCTGAACCCCTACAAGACGCTGCCCAGCCGGGCCTGACGGGGCCGTGGCGTGCCTGGGGTCAGTGAGATGCAGGAGGATCCCGTCCGGCCTTTGCCTGTTGGGACGGGCACTCGGGGTGGCGTGGGCGCAGCAGCCTCCCCGCCGGTGGGGCCTGCAGCAGGCGCGGTGGCCCGGTCACTGGCTGGAGGAGCTGGGAGTGGCCTTTGGGCAAGAGCCGTCTCCTGGCTGTCCCAGGGCTGAGCAAAGCGGCCCGTTCTTCCTCCGCAGGCTGGGAGCGTGGCTGGGCGGGCCGGGCGGGCGGCTGTGCCCCTCAGGAGCAGGCCGGTCCCGAGACTGCTTCGTGGGGGCCCGGGGGCCCGCGCAGCCCTCGAGGTGCCCGGCAGCCTCTCCGCCTATTTGCTGTCTGCCCAGGCAGGCTGAGCCCCAATGGCCAAGGTGACCCCAGACCGCCGGCTGTACTGTCATGGGACAGGTGACAGTTGGTCATCCGTGGCCCGGGTGACTGGCTGTGCCACTGCTAGAGGGCCTGCCCGTTGGGAATATGACTCAGAGCAAGGTGTGGCGGCCAGGATCAACGCCGAGGCCAGCCTTTCGGATTCCTCGGGGCCGAGGCATGGCCCGGCGCACACGGACGGGCGGCTCTAGGGCTCTGCCACGCCAGCCACCCGACCTGACCCTGGACCCTGTTTGTCCGTGGCCCACGGGCAACCGGTGGGCTGTGGAGATGCGGCCCGGGAGGTTGCACACGCATTTCCTCTTGGCTCGTGAATGCTGCTGTGAATTTCCAGGAAAAATGTGAATTGATCACAGTCTCCTCCTTGCTCGGTTGCTGGAAAATCATCTGGTGAAAGCCCGTCATGCCCCCGAAACACCCCGGCTGTGGGGCCGTCAGCGCGACCCAGGCCTGACCCCTGCGCTGTCCGGGGGCCGTCCCCACCCCCACCCCATCCCCGTCCACTGTCCTGCTGGGGGACGGCCAGCCCATGTGGCCCCTGAGGCAGGTGGATCGTGGCCCCCCGTCCCTCGGGGCCTTGGCACGTGGGCCGCCTGCTCCCAGGAGGAAACGCACCCCTGCCCGCTGCCCCTCAGAGGTCACCTGCCCAGGCAGGGGCCCCTGCCTGTGGATGGGCCACATCCTGGCAGGGGCTCCTGGGGGGTCTTGGCCCCAGCACGACCTTGCGGCACAAGTCAGGTGTCACTTTCCCGCCCTCACCCCGGCCCAGCAGTGTGGGGTGTCACTGCACCCGGGTGGTTCCCTGCCCAGGGATTGGCACGGCAGCATCCCGCTTCCTCCAGCCTCACAGGTCTGAGAGCCGGCTCCGTGCCCTGGGGCTGTGGCCCCTCCTCCCCGTCCCTGGCCGGGTTCCTGTGGGCAGCCCCGCGGGGTCCACTGCCTGGCGCTGCCTGCACAGGAGCCTGGCACGAGGCCCCGGCGTCGTGCGCCTCTGTCCCCCCCAAGGTCAGCAGAAGGCCCCTGGCTCTCGGCTCTGCCCTGGGCCTGTGGTCGCTGCCGGGCAGGACTTCTGGCTGCAGTCAGGTCCGGTGCTGCCCCAGACAGTGGCGGCTCCAGCTGGTGGCGGCTGCAGGCCGCGGTGCCGCATGGGTGCTTTTAAGCGTCTTCCTATTCTGGCTACAAGACCCCAGGGCTGTGCGAGTCCCAGCCCTGGCCACGGCCTCCGTGCTGACTCCCGTGGTCAGGAGCGGCCGGCACCAGGCTCCCCACGGACATGCGGGCCCCGCACGGCACCTGCCCACTGGGAGGACGCTGGTCTGGAGAGTGGGCCTCTGCGTGGGCAGGCGTGTGGGAGGGGCAGGGGCTGTGGCCACCCTGCCGGGGCCCCGCAGTGACCGTGGGGCGGAGGTAGGCAAGCGCCAGCGCTCGTTCCTGGAGTTACCTGCCCCTCCTGTGCCTCCCTCGCTGTTCTCAGAAACCTCTTGGGCTTTTTTTTGCCTGTAAATAACAGCAGACCCTAAGGTCAGAGGTGTCTGAGCGCTGGCGCAGCGCGACACAGCCAGGCAGGGCGGACGGGAGACACCCCGGGCCGCATTCGGGTTTGCGAGGAGACTCGCTGCCCAGGACGGGGAGGCCCTGTGTGCTCACACACCCGGAAAAACCTGCTAGGACCTGCAGGAGAATCTGTCACAGCCCCATGCTGGCTGGCTGGACCACACGCCTCTCAGAATCTGCTGGCTGCCACAGATGGAAAGTATTCTCAGGTGGTCTGGAAACCACCGGGAAGCTAACCCTTGGAGACGGCTCGAGTGATGGGCTTGGCCGTCCCTGGTCCACGGTCCAAAACCTGACGGGCCGAGGCCCGACACCGTCCGCAGTCACACTGACCTGGTCACGACGCAGGTGCAGCCACGCCTCGGGGATGAGCACAACCGCCCGTGTGGGGTGGGGAGGGACGACCCTTGAGCTGGGGTCAGGGGAGGCTTGTGATTTCCTCTTAGGGCCTCTGAGCTCTGCCACCCGAGCTGGCGTTGCATAAGGGGACCGTGGGAGGCCGAGGGTGAGGAGGGGCGCTGCAGGCGGGAGGGAGCCCCGCCGGGCTGTGGGGTGCTGGTCTCGGCCCAGGCAGTGTGTGTGGGGTGAGCTGTTTCCTGTGAACAGGAGGATGGACCACCTGGGCCGCCTGGATCCAGGTCGTCAGGGCCGTGGACCCAGAGTGCCCCGAGGAAGGGTTTGGGGTCTGTGGCCCCGCAGGGCCCCGAGGACGTCTGCTGGGACCTGGCCCTGCAGAGCAGAGGTGGCAGGCCTGCAGGGCAGTGTGCCGGGCCCCGACAGACCCCACTGTGCTCACCCGGCACGGCATGTTGGAGCGGCCCCTCCACATTCAGGTCCGTCCTGCTGCCTCGGCGTCCGGGACCCGAGAAGGCCCCTGCCCTCGCCAGGTGCCTGGGCCCCTGAAGCCGCCTGGTGGTAGCTGGGCCCCTCCAAGGTGACCCACAGGACTTAGGAAGGGGACCCCTCCCTCGAGCCGCTGGCCAGGGCCACCCAGACACTGTGGCACCGAGGTGGCACTCTGGCTAGGAGGGCTGGGGGCCCTCGGGCCGGAGCAGGGGCTTGAGTCACCTGTGTTGGGGCGTGTGGGGCAGCAGGCCCACAGGAGCCTGTGCTGGGAGGACCCTCCAGACACCCAGGCCCTGGGCCTGGTCCCTCCTCGAGTAGTGCCCAGACCTGAGCCCACCTGGTCACTTTTCCTCAGGGGCCCACAGGTCCTGGGACACCCCTTCCTCACTCTGGCAGGCGGTCGAGGACCCCGTCGTCTCGGCCCATTCCCCTTCCCCCAGCCCCGGCAGGTGCCGGTCTCTGGCGTGGTGCCCCCAGGACCCCTGGGCCTCAGGGTCTGGGGAGGAGACACTGGGGCAGGTCCCGGTGCAGGCTCAGGGCCTGGGAGGCCCACCATGGCGGGCCTGAGGCTCAGGCAGCCTCACACTCGTGGGTGGCTCTGCCTGCTGCTCCCCACTTTCTGGAGTGCCAGCCCCTCCAGCAAGCACCAGCTGTGGTCCTTCCAGCTGCCCTGCCAGGCAAACAGAGTCACTGTGAAGTTTCTAGAACATCGCTGGTGTGGCAGGCTGGGGGGGAGCTTCTTGGGTGTGCCTGGATGTGGTCTGAACATGGGCCAGAGCCCAGGTGCCCTCACCGGCCCCAGGAGCCCACGGGCAGGATCATGTCTGGGCACCCATAGGCAGGACCATGTCCGGGTGCCCACGGGCAGGACCATGTCCGGGTGCCCACGGGCAGGACCATGTCCGGGTGCCCACGGGCAGGACCATGTCCGGGTGCCTGTGGCCAGGGCTGCAGTCAGCCGTGCTGACCCTGCCTTGCCCACACCTGCCAGGCAGGAGGCCCTGTCCCCACTGGCCCTGTGCCAGCAGGTGTGCAAACAGGTGTTCTCTGGAGTTCCCAGAAAGTGGGATGATGTTCCCCATGTTCTGGGCAGAGTGCACAGGACCCGGAGCCAGCTTCTGGGCTCCATAGCCATGGGCGCTCCGGACAGTGAGGGGGATGGGGTTCAGGCATCCAGAGGTGTCAAGGTGACCGGTGGGAAGGGTGAAACCTTCTCTGCTCAGCAGAGAGAATTCACCCCTCGACTCCGGAAAGCAGAGACCAGGGAGCCAGGCACCCTCCGGAGCACAGGGCGTGGGGACTCTGGCCTCGGGCCACCTGCCCGTCCCTGCTGAGCCCTGGGCTAGTGAGGGAGGGGCTGGAAGGAGCCTCAGGACTAGAGCCCCTCCTGCCACGGGTCCTGCCAGCCCCTGGCCCTCGTTCACCCACCGTCCTGCTCGGGGACAGAAAGCTTTTCCTTCCTGAGCCCCAGACCTGGGCTCTGGAATCCGCAGGCTGAGAATTGACTCTGCGTCTGCTCTGCTGTGGTCACCTCGCCCCGAGGCGGCGCCCGGCTGCCCCCCGGCTGCTCTCCCTCCACCGTCTTGGGTTTGTCCGAGACGCGTCCCTCCCCGTGGGACCCAGGCCACACGCCTGGGCACATGGCAACCCACAGGATGAGGGAGGGGAGGTGGAGCCCCAGGAACATGCAGCCGTCATGACACGCGGTGGTGGTGGGCTGGCAGGGTGGGTGGGGGTGGCCTTGGGGACCTCCGGCGGCCCCGAGCTGCGGTGTCTGCTCCAACCCATTGTGTGCATTTTATCGGTGTTGCTGAGTCACTGTCTGCGCGGGGCCCAGCAGACCCTCTGTCTCAGTGGGGCTCTGGGACCCTCACCAGTGGCCGCCTCCCTCTGGCCGGCCGGGCCTCCGTCTCCTACCCCTGCCTGGGCCGGGGCCTCTTGCACGTTGCACGTTCTGCTCGCTGGTCAAAGGCGGCTGGTGGGGGACCGTCCACTCTTCTTGCTCAGGCCACAGAGTCACTGGGGACCGGGGAGCCGGGGACCCGACTTGGGAGGGAGGCGCCAGCTTCTGGCCTCAGTGGCTCTGGGGCACGGGCACACAAGCCGTGATCGTCTTGTTTCTGGGCCGAGCCTGTGGAGCCCTGGGCAGAGTGGGAGGGAAAGCAGGGCAGGGTCCCCCCTAAAGATGGAGCACGCCCCCCAGCTTCTCTGGACTGCGGATGGCAGAAGCGTCTGGTGGAGCAGCGAGGCCCCCGTGGCCCACTCGCTTGCACTGGCACCGGGAGGGCTGCTCTGCCGCCCCAGCCCTCGGGCCCGGGGGCTGCTCTGGGGGTCCGCAAAGGGGCCTGCCCTGAGCTCAGAGGACAGTGCCCGGCCCGGGTGCAAGTGTAGTGAATGGGGCAGGGAGGTGGTGGTGCTCTTGGCGAGAGGGGCAGGAGCCACAGCGCCTGCAGGGGCTGAGCCGGGCGGGAGGGGGCTGTGGGCGCCCTGCAGGGAGGGTCTCCGGGAGCCCATGTCCATGCTGCTCTCTGGGTGGCAGGAAGGCCAGGGCTCTCTCCCCCAAGCCCTCGGCCCATCCTACCTCAGTGGCCGCAGTGAGCTGGCCGCCACGAGCTTGGCCCATCAGGGACTCGGGGCTCCGTTGGCCTGGACAGAGGGGGTTTCTCGGGAAGGCAGCGTCCAGCAGAGCCACGCAGGGAAGGGTGTCTGACGGCACCGACATCCACAGGCACCGAGGAGGAAGGCCGCAGATGCCAGGCCTGGCTGGCGGAGGCGAGGGGCCGGTTATTCTGTGGCATTTGTCTTTTTCTGCTTGGCTTGCAAGAATCCTTCCTCTGCTTGGACTTAACACTTGGTCAAAGCGTTTCCCTGGTTTGTTGTTTGTCTCAGAATTATGTCTATTTCCTGAAGAAAGACATGAACTTTGGCGCAGTAAAATCTGAATCAATATTTGTATTA